GCTGGCTTGGGCTGCGGTCGGCTGGGGCTTCGTGCGTCTCGAGGAGGTCTCAGCAGCGTGGTTGTGGTGGTGGCGGGCCGGAGGTTGGAGACGACGGTCGCGGCGGCTCTTTCGGATTTGACCTCCCGGCGGCGCGGGCCGCGAAGGCTAGGGCTGCGAGCGGCGGCCCTGACCGAGGCCCCCTCTGCTGGTCGGGGTGGCGGCGCAGTGGCTGTGCTGCGGGGGTGCGTGCCCGGCGGCTGCTGTGGTGGTGTCAGGTTGATTGCGGCGGCGGCGAGATTTCCTGGCGTCGGCCCGTCTGTAGGCTGCCTGTTCGGCCTTCGACCCCTCTCATCGGTGTCCGTTCGCTTCTCTCTCTGGAGGGCTGGCCTTCTCCCGGCGATGGTCCATCATCCGTCTCGCACCCGGTGCCGTAGGACCGAGCTGGTCTCGCGCCCGGCAGCAGGACCGACTCGTCTCGCGCCCGGCAGCAGGACTGAGCTCGTCTCGCGCCTGGCAGCAGGACCGACCTGTCTCGCGCCCTGCGGCAAGGCTGCGCTCGTCTTGCGCCCGGTGTAGCAGGATGGCTCGATGGAGGCTTGTTGTGGCCGGCCTACTGGGTCTCGGCATTGGGACCGGCTAGGGGTGTGAAAGGCGGATCCTTTCCGCCCGTCTCTGCGGTGGGGGTAGCGGTGGGGCTCGAGGGACTTGGTGTTATGGTCTTGGAATCCGGGGCGGCGGCCCTGGTGGTGGTGGCGCGGTGCTCATGGGCAGAGCTCGTGCCTCGGTGTTGCCCGGCTGCCACGGCCGTGTGGGCGGCGTTGTAGCCGGGGTGTGGCGTTCGGTGGCGGTGAATGTTGGCCGGGGTGAAAACCTACTCTATCTTCGGACGGACTGGCGACGGTGAAGATCGGTCCCTTCTTGAAGGCGTCGTCGCGGCTATCACTGCCCGTCGTGGTGCTCCAGGGGAAACTCTGATCCTCGGATCGGGCGGTGGCGACGCTCCGGTGCCGTATCCTTCTTGAAGGCACCGCCTTGGAGCCCACGGTTCGTCATATGCGGTGTCACTTATTCGGATGAAGCCCCCGGCGGCTCTTGTAGTGCTAGGGTGTGTGTTGCTGCGCTCAGCGCCTATGTATCCTGCCTTGGGTGTGTGTGTGGTGGTGGGTGAGTGCGGTTGTACCGGGCACTGTGGATCTTTGCTTTATATATAAAGCGGGGTGAAAGCCTTTTTCGGTAAAAGACCAGTAGATCAAAAGACTAACCAAGCGAGGGACAAATAAAGACGGTAGTACAGTCTATCTTCTACCAAAGGCATGGTAAACATTCTATTGAACAGGTTGCATGCTGAAGAATTGTACCTGCGCACACAACTGGCATGCAGCAGGATACCGCGTAGGGCAGAAGCATGGAAGGATGAAATCTTCCCGGCTTCAGGATATGACTTCCTCAATAAAAAAAACCTAGAGCGAGTGGAGGCATATCGCCTCGCCGGTCGCGGCATCACCAACGGGGGAATGTGGGGATGGGAAAGGCCGCGTGATGGCAGCCGGGAGAAGCGGATCGGTGGTGGGATTGGATGAGATCGTGTGCGGGGGTGCGTGCGTGGGATTTCATCGATTCTACGTACCTGCAGGGTGAGCACCGCGGCTGGTCTGCTCGCTGTTGTTGCTCATTCTCCCGCTTAGCATATTCCATGGGCGGAGCAAGAGAAAGGACCGGATGTGAGGCAACCCCTCTAGATCAGATCGAGCGGGGGTGGAAGATCGGGCTAGGCGGGTTTACCAACACGAAAAAACAGGAAACAAAACGAGAATTACGGGAGCAAGGGAATCGGGAGCTGAGTTGGAATTACGCGAGCGAATATATAAGCGAATCGGGAGGGACGAGATGTTGCGTCAAGGGAAAGTCTGGGGTTGGGTGTGTCGACGAAACAATTGATGTAATAGGGGAGAGGGAACACTCCGTTTCTTTTAGGTAGTAGAGAAACCAAGGTGGAGAATTACGATTGGTGTTTAGGGAAGGAGGGGCCCATCCCCTGAAAATCGATCGGGGGGATGTTTAGATTAGATTAAAAGGTTAAGTAGCTTTGCGTATGGCGTTGGTAGGTGTAGGATTATTGGGGCGGAGGTCGTCGTCCGATAATAATGACGCGGCACCACAACGACCAGTGGGGCGATGGCAGAAGCTAGCCGGCCGTCGCCGGCACTCTTGGCGAGCGAGCGCTGAGAAAAGGGCTTCTAGCTAGTCGGCGTATGTTTTTGTCCAACTTGTAATTGATAATCACGTCAGGCGGAGACCTCAACCACTCACTCTGTAATCATCGCCCTCTTCTCTTCTCTACATACACACAGTGGCCCTCAACAAGTTTCTTGTACTCGCAAGTTTCCCACGTTGTTTTTCTTGTATACACCATAGGTGTCCTTGTATTGTCGTGCAAGATCCTTGCGTGTCATCTTTTGATAGATAGAAATTACTTGTATAGCAGCTCCACTCTATTTTTTGTTCTTTAGCTAGATCCCAGTGTCCTCCTGCGACCTGCCTCTATGTTCTTGAGTTTCTCCCACCGCTCTGGAGTGTGGACTCCCATTATTTTACCTTAGTTTATTATGAAAGCAAAGTTCTTCCTTGAAGAACTGGTTTTAACTATTTTTAGACTAATTGTTTATGGGAGATGACATATGTCAGATGCACTAGTATGTGTGACAACTCACAAGCTTGCTTTTAAACCAGTGTATGCAGCGTTTCTGGACTTCATTGCCCAAACTGGCCATGCAGATGGTGCAGATGATTGGCAAGAGGATACCTGTGAAATGGTAAAGCATGAGAGATATCTTTATCATCCCGGTTTTGCTAGTTACCAGTCATCTTTTTCTTTCACCAAGTTTAAGATTGCACTTCACAATAGTACTCGAGGTTTTAATAGTACTCGAGGTCTTGTAGTTGCTACTTGAAATATGTCGCCCAAGCTAAATTTGTTGATAAGATTGCAGTTGATTTTTCTTCTCCTTCCTTTTTGCACTCGACCACACATCAACCCTATATACACAGCTTCTAGTACCAAAGATTAATGTCTGCATGGCCTTTCTTTTCAACAGATTAAGCGCTTGAAGGACCAATACTTTGCAGAACTCAGTGATCTGTACAGTCATGTCTCTGGGAATTTGGACGTTGTTGACAATATCATACCCCGTCAAGAGCCATTAGAGCAGTATGATTGGATGAGGAACTTCAAAATTATGCTTGAGCACATACTGCAAGTCCTGCAAATGAGCAAGAATAGCATTCAACTTGAACCTGCTTTGAGGAACGAAGTTTGTCAATACGAGAAGCGAATTATTAAAATGCGGATGCTTAAAGTGTACGTGCCTCAACAACAGCTTCTCACACAACAGCCACATCAAGTACAAAAACTACAGCAATGGTCTCTAACACCGTCACATCAAGTACAGAAAGTACAGAAACTACAGCCACATTTGATACATACAGCACAGATGCAACCAAACAATCCACAGCAACATCACCTGATGATGCAACAGCAACAACAACGGCCTCTGACACAGTCAACACAGATGCAAGCAAACATTCAGCATCAACGGTCTATGATGTCTTCGACACAGATGGCATGGATTTTAGCATGTAGGGAAGCCCAGGTGCAACAACTATTTCAGTGGCAACCGTCTCAGATGTGATCAACACAGATGCAACCAAACATTCTTCAGCAACAGTCTCTGATGCAGCAAAACATTCTTCAGCAACAGGCTCTGATGCAGCAAAACATACTTCGGCAACAGTCTCTGATGCAGCAAAACATTCAGCAGCAACAGTCTCTGATGCAGTCAACAGGGTCCTCGATGCAACCAAATATTCAGCAACAACAGTCTTCGATGCAACCAAACATTCAGCAACAACAGTCTTCGATGCAACCAACACAGATGCAAGATTCACAACAACCAATGATGCCAATGTTATCTCACCGTCAGACTGAGCAGTCCACAGTTCTAGAAGCAGAGAAAATGATAATGCTAGAGAAACTGTTCAAAGAACTATAGTGGATCACTCGTGGCCTTTTTTTATGCCATCCGCAAAAAAGGCCTTAGTTGGATCGTTCCTGGTTCTTGTAAAATAGTACTCCCTCGGTTTCAAAATAAGTGACTCAACTTTGTACTAACTTTGTGTCACTTATTTTGGGATGGGGTAAGTATAATTCAATGGATTATCAGGTGTATTAACTTGAAATAATGTTGATGGATTCAGTATGAAGTACTTGGATACTTAACTTTGCTGAAGAAAATTGCACAATCAAATAAAATTGGAAAAAGAACACACCATAAAAGCATCTAAAACAATCAATTATGTATGTAGTTCGCAAAAAGAATTCAGACAGGAAAACAAACACGATATCTAGTTGGTAGCACAAAAACGAAAACAACTACTTCAGGCCGCAAGTCCCAGACTGCTAGTAAGTTTTAGGCTGATAGACTGAAACACGGTGAAACAGGGTGAAGCCACAAGGAAGGATGAGGCGCTCAAACTGAAAGAATTCTGCCCCAAATGGCCACGGATAGCTCGCTGTGATTGCTGCGGGAGATGCTGGGCAAGAGATGGTCAGACGGTCCGGCTTGGTCTAGGGGTATCATCTGAGATTAGTTGTAAGCTAGGGCCAGCTCCCATGTTGGCGGTGGGTTCCTTTGGAGTAGTGAGCTGTGAGTCGGTGCTGGTTAGCATTGCCACAACTTGAGACATGGCAGGCCTGTCCTCGGGCGATTGCTGCACGCAGAGAAGGCCAATCTGGATGCATCTGGCTAGCCCTGCCAAGAGCTCACCTTCAGGATCAGCCAGTTTCCGATCAAGGAGCTCCTCGTGCCCACATCGACTCCATGATTCCCAGGCCTGCAAAAAATATTCTCAGTTGTATGGAGTAATGCTCTTCTATATAGTACTCCCTCTGTTCCTAAATATAAGTCTTTGTAGAGATTTCACTAAATAGACTACATACGAAGCAAAATGAATGAATCTAAACTTAAAATGCATCTACATACATCCGTATATGGTTCATAGTGAAATCTCTACAAAGACTTATATTTAGGAACGGAGGGAGTATATGACTATGTTTGGAATGTGTTTTGTGCATTCTGTAGCAAGCTGAACAAAGACTACTCATTTATAGTAAGTGGCGCATCAGGGAGTTATTTTCCCCCCTCATGACCAGACTTACATGAAGAAGGAACTTTGGCATGCTTGTTCTCCTTCTGCCACTGATTATCTCCAGCAAGACGACTCCGAAGCTATATACATCACACTTGTACGTCAGGGCTTTTTCGGACGAATACTCTGGAGCAACATATCCCCTTCATTTAACACAAAACATGGAGTTAATTTATGTATACTGGACATAGATAAACAGGGAAAAGAACAATCATTTCTAATGTGAATATGAAACATAAGAGAGTTGGAAATATCATTCATACGGTGTCAGTACTACTGTCGGATCTGTCTCCTCTTCAATGAACAGCTTCGCGGTGGTAAAATCTGCTATCTTAGACTCCCACGTGTCACTCAGAAGTATGTTGCCAGGTTTTAGATCCCTATGAATGAATCCCTTGCCATGAAGATATTCAACACCTTTGGCGATCCCATGAATTATTTCCCGTCTTTGAGCCCAATTCAGCGAGGAGACGAGCCCGTTTTGTTCTCCTGCATTTCCAAATAGGTGTGAGGCCAAAAGCATATACAAATAGCCGTGGATTACATTTGTACATATAATGGCAGATTAACATGGCATGCATTGCAACGAGTACCAAAAATATAGCAATCCAAACTTTTATTCTCCATGTATTCATAGACTAGTATCCACTCATTTCCTTCCCGGCACTGGTAGAGGAGCCTCGCAAGATTGACATGCGTGAGCGTGGACATCATTTTCACTTCCCTTTTGAAATCTTCCTTGCCTTTATCAGTAAGACGATCCCGTCTGAGCTTCTTCGCAGCAAACTCTCTACCGAATAGCCGCCCCTGGTGATTATACAGTGACATGTTACGATGTAGATTCAGCAGATAATGAAGTATATCCCGCAAAAAAGAAAGTTATACGAAGTATACAATCTACAACAAAAGCCACTTCATATGGACAAGAACAGTTCCTACCATGTAGACGTCGCTAAATCCGCCCCTGCCAATGACATTTTCTCCAGAGAAATTTCCTGTGGCCTTTCTTATAATACAAAGGCAAACTGCATGTCCTTCTGGAAATTAATTATACTTGTGAGATCATTTCCTTGCTTCTTCGGAATAGTAAAAGAAAGGAACACGAAAGAGAATAATGTGTTTATATAGAGTTGAGCTTTTACCTAGCCATAATATGACTTGTCCTATGCTGGTGGAAAACCAGAAAGCAAGGAGAACCAGAATGATGATCAAGGCTACAGATACAACTATGATAATCCAAGTAGGAAACACCGATATAGATGGCCCACCTATTATAAAAAATCAAACATGGAAACTTAAAATTCTCAACTGATAAGCTTATCTTATCAAAAGAAACTGGAAAAACGTAAAATATGTTGCTTCTATCAAAATGATGAATTCCATTGATGAAGCATTTTTTTACTGTCATCTCTTCTCACGCCGTAACTCAATTCAATTTCGAGGTGGTATTTCTGAGCTCGGGGGCTCATATACACCCACATGAACAGTAAAATCAAGAAATATTAAATTAAAATAATAAAAATGGCAGCCCGGTGCACGTAACTCCCGCTTGCGCAGGGTCCACGGAAGGGTCCGACCACTTTGAGTTTTTTGTACGCAGCTTTTTCCTACATTTATTTAAGATGTTTCCAGTAAAAAATCTAAAAAATTTATACAACAAGCGTGTTGGTGTGTCTTCTAACTGCATGCATTGCTTTGTGAAAAAAGGACGTATGGGGTGATCTCGGCAAAAAAACAAAAATTATAGTGCTTAAACATGTTCTTTCTTAAAACATTTCTGCTTTCTTTAAATATGTCACTATTTCCCTTGATTTTACTGTTCATGCGGGTGTATAGCTCAGAATTGAATTTCCGGTCAATTTCCTTCGAAGACAGAGAAAAACATGGATGGCAAGAATGCATAGATGGATAATCTGTACATACTAAATTCTGATTTGGACAACCTCAGATAGAGATCCTGCTTGCTGTCAATGAGGCGAAGATCACCGATGGCATCCGTCCACAAAAGGCAGCCACTACGATTGCCGCCGCCTCTGATATCGGCGGCGGCGTAGGCCAAGCACGAGCAGTTGGCATAGCACCTTGCCTTGCACTCCTCCAGCGTAGCGGCATCAATGTCCACCGTCGCATTCTGTGTGTCAGGAAGCTTCACTCCAGGCACCACCTTGAAGCGGTCCGTCGTCTTCCCACCACGACACTCCAGAACCGCGTCGCGCTGGCACCCTCCCGCATGCTGCTTCATCTGCCACGCCGGTGTCGAGACGGGGCTGAACCCTGGCAGACAGCCGCAGAACCCAGACAATGCCGCCTCCGGGTCGCAGAGGCCAAACGCCCCGCACTTGCCATACGCATCGCACGTGACGTCCCTCGCCCCCCTGCTGAAGAAGGAGATCCACGCTCCTGTGTCGGTGTTCCACACCAGCCGCTCCGCCACGCCGGTGTGGTTCACAACGACGCGAGTCAACGGTGCGCCAGGCTCGGCGGTGTACTCATATGTTATCTCCGTCGGCCTGGCCGTCAGGCCCGTCACATGCAGCGGGTACATGTTCACGTACGTCGATGCCTCTGGGACGCCGTTGAAGTAAAGCCCGTTATATGGCATCTTGACGTTGCCACGCCACAAGGACGAGCTCCGGTAACCCCTTGGTTTCCAGCGTGCGGCGGTATTCCCCCGGAGACGGGTCGTCGGCGGATCGCCAAGATGTGAGCTGTCACTCTGTTCCAGTCCAGAAATTCTTGCCCAGCTTCATGCCAGGCAACAAGGTGTCTGACGGGTAGTCGAAGGACTGCCACAGGTAGGCGACACTGCTGTCGTTGCACACGACCAGGTTGCCAGTATCGAGAAGCTGAGCCCCCGAGGCGGAAGTGCCGCCGGTGAAGTCTGAAGACCAGACTGTGCGGCGAGCACTGTCCAGCAGGACAAGGGTGGCCGCGTCATTGAACACCAGCATGCCGGACTTGTCGACCAGAGGCTGGTCGCGGTTGGCCACCCAGTACACAGTGTCATTGGACACCGAGAACCAAATGCCGAGGTACCTTTTAGTGGACACCCCGGGCGAGAAGAACCCCAGGGTGAAGGAGCCGCTGGCCGAGACGAGTGCGTCACCGTCGGAGTCGGTGAGGTTCTGGCCTTTCTGGAGCTTGTCAGCAGCGGGGGCCTGGATAGGAAGGAGCAAGATGCATGCCAAGAAGAGCAGCAGGAGAAGCTGGCTGGTTGGGCTCATGACGGATGCCCCCTTACACCATAGAAATGTTGGTCATGGACTGCAGTTGTTTTGTAGGCTGAATTGGCAACACGAGAAGATAAGGCAAGGAGATCCCATGTGACCGATCCTATTTAACATAGTGGCTGATATGCTGACTATTTTAATAGGACAGGTTAAGGATGCAGGGCAGGTAGGTGGCCTTGTTCCGCATCTAGTTGATGGCGGTATCTCCATCCTTCAGTATGCTAATGATACTATCATCTTTATGGAGCACGACTTGGCGAAAGCGAGAAACATGAAGCTTGTGTTATGCTTATTTGAATAATTGTCTGGGCTCAAAATTAACTTCTACAAGAGCGAATTGTTCTGTTTTGGAAGAGCTAATGATGACCAAGAGGCATATAAACAATTGTTCGGATGTGAATTGGGCACGTTACCGTTCACGTATTTAGGTATACCCATTCATCATCGTAAGCTGACTAACAAAGAGTGGAAATGTATCGAGGATCATTTTAAGAAGAAGTTGAGCTGTTGGAAAGGGAAGCTAATGTCATATGGAGGGCGATTAATTTTAATTAATCCGGTCCTCACCAGTATGCCTATGTTTCTCTTATCCTTTTTCGAGGTCCCGATGGGTGTCAGGAAGAGGCTTGACTTCTATCAATCTCGTTTCTTTTGGCAGAGTGATGAGCTTAAACGAAAGTATAGTCTTGCTAAATGGGATATAATCTGTAGGCTGAAGGACCAAGGGGGTCTAGGCATTGAAAATCTGGAAGTCAAAAACAGATGTCTCCTTAGCAAGTGGTTGTTTAAACTTTCGTCCGAGACGGAGGCTACTTGGGCTCAGATTTTGCGAAATAAGTATCTTTATTCTAAAACCTTGGCCCAGGCGACCGTGAGACCGACTGACTCACCATTTTGGAAAGGCTTGATGAGAGTCAAGCCAATCTTTTTCAATAGGACAAGGTTCTTAGTCGGAAATGGAGCTAATACGAGGTTCTGGGAGGATACGTGGCTTGGGAAGACTCCCCTTGCACTTCAATATCCTACTCTGTACAACGTTGTTCAACGAAGAGAAGCTTACGTTGCAACAGTTCTACAATCCACTCCCCTCAATATTAGTTTTTGGAGGACGCTAGTTGGAAATCGTTGGGATGCCTGGCTTCATCTTGTAAGACGTTTGATGGATATCCAGCTGTCTTAGCAGCCAGATCAGTTGTATTGGAAACTAACTAAGAACGGTGTGTTCTCGGTGAAATCCATGTATCTGGACGTCATAAACTCTAGCGTCATTCCTTCCTGGAAGCGCGTTTGGAAAGTAAAGGTACCTTTACGAATCAAAGTGTTTATGCGGTTCGTGCATAAACAAGTTATTCTGACTAAGGATAATCTGTCCAAACGAAATTGGGTGGGCTCTGCTAGATGTAGTTTTTCTGACCATAACGAAACTATAAAACACCTCTTTCTTGATTGTCCACTGGCTAAGATTCTTTGGCGGTCGATTCATATTGCCTTTAATATAAATCCGCCTACTTCCATCAACATGTTATTTGGAACGTGGCTTGATGGGGTTGAGTCCGATACAGCAAGGCACATTCGTGTTGGCGTTTATGCTTTATTATGGGCAGTCTGGAACTGCAGAAATGATTTAGTTTTTAACAGATCAACACACATTCACTTTTTGCAGGTTATCTTCAGGGCCACAGCGTTGATCCGTATGTGGTCGCTACTCACTCCGACGGAGGCCAGGGAGCGTTTGGTTACTGCGTCTACCTGATGGGAGATGGTAGCTCGGGTTATTTTCAAACGGTTTGGATGACGGTCATGTAATAGGATAGGCATGTAGTGCTTCTATTTTTATTTGCCAGCCGGTTGTGGCTTTCTGTTTAGCTCTTTTGAGCGTTTGTATTTGTTTTTACTTCGAGACTTGAAGACTTGTTGCTGGATATTTTTATTAATAATATGAGCCGTATGCATCTTTCTGATGCAGAGGCTGAGGTAAAACCCCTTTAAAAAAAGATAAATTATTGTGGTTCAACATGCAGCAAACATGGCTGGTACTTGAATTGAAATTCGGAGAACTTGCATTGCACTATATCGAAATCTCAATTATCAGTGTGATGGAATTGGAATGTGCCAAGGAAGGACAGAGCGATCACACACTTAAGAAATATAATCGCAAGCAAGTGGTTCTAGCTAGACTCATTAAAGTACTGTATCAGCTATACTGTGAGTCAATGTGCCATCCTGTAATGCCGCGTCGGTTCTAGTGGACTTGGAAAGGTTCTTTGTCAATCTAAGCATAAGCACAATAATTAATCAGTTCTTGCCAAAATTATGCCCGTGTTGTATATGGACAGCTGTTTTTTCCATTTTCCTTTTTAAGAATTATATGTACTCCCTCTATACGGAAATACTTGTCATCAAAATGGATGAAAATGGATGTATCTAGAATTAAAATACATCTAGATACATCCATTTCAATAACAAGTATTTCCGGACGGAGGGAGTAAGTGCTATGGCCTATGGATATGCAATTTTGCAAACCTTTGCTGGACCGGGCTTGCTTGTGCCCATGTCCTCCCTCTCAACAAGGAAAAAACATAAAATCATGTCTTATGCAACGCAATATAAGACTACAAGTATAACAAATAAGAAACAGATCTTCAGCACGTTCTTTATAGCCTAAACATTTTTCTTATTTTGGATGCCGCTGATGGTTTGCCTAATCTGGTGCTTGGGTCATCCCAAAGGGCAGCAGCACAATTATGAAATTGTATTGAAGAAGTGAAATATTCACTGGTACTAGAACATGCCTTCGGTTGGGTGCATGTGGAGTGAGGACTGTGCCTCACAGTTCGGAATTCTTAACATCACCCGCTTCTTAAACACAAACACATAATATTATTTGAACAGTTCAAACCAATAATGCATATTAGTTCCATGTGTTTAACTGTTATAAGTTTGTTTAATATAGCCCAAGCATCTAACCACTTGGGTCATCGAACAACACTTAGTGAACCGCATTTTCGATGCAATTCATCTCCAATGATTTGCAAGCGACAATGTCGTCTGACTTTACAGTTTTTTTCACGACATCGGAGATAAAATATGAACATACCGCATTCGCCAGTGGTGGGTCGCCATGTCCGAAATGTGCGGTGGAATCAAGGCGGATTCAGTTCACGTCTGAAGCTGAAGATGCATCCGGAGGTTGGGCTTGGTGCGGTGAGGTGCTGGCACTGCCTGCCACCACCGGAAAGCGATTTCCCGGGAACGGCCCGCCAGTTGGTCGCCGTGGGGGATTGGGGGCAGCAGAGGAGGCCCGCGTGAGGCCGCTGCGCTGCCCTCAGATCCCGTCGACGACGACGCGCGGTCACTGGAGGGATCTCGTGCGCTTCGATGAGGATGGCGACGCTGGGACGTCCGCGCGCGGGTGGCGGATGGCCCATCGCCGCCACCGTTGGTCGACCATGGCAAATCCTCCCATCCTATTCCCTCCCTCTCGAAGCGAAGTCGCGCACGAACCAGGGGAGAAGCACATATAGATGTCCGGGGGTGGGCGGTGGGCGGCGGCCGTTGCTCACTTCTGCTGACCCCCGCCGGCGAGTGGGTACTGATAGAGTGTGTCGTTCCTGTGGGTTGTGCCATGCGTGCGAGCGGAGAGGACGGAGTAGAGGAAGAAGCGGGATGCGGGCTGAGCGGCAGAATGGGCTTTCGGTGGACCGAGTCCAGCACATGTCCTTTCTTTTAATAGAATGCCCGTGATTGCCTCAAACAAAAAGAAGAATGCCCGTGTCCTAATGAAAGTGTCACCTTGAAAAAAAATAGTGTCAAGATGTATGCGTCAATTTTTTGTTCGAAATGTTTTGACATTTTGAAATTTTTTAACCGGTGGCAGGACCATGTGCCAAAGTGAATTTCCACAAAATATATTGCTTAGCTTCTGGTTGTAGTTGGTGTTTGTGCGGTTCCAGACGGTTGGGGAAAAAAATCTTTCAGGAACAAACTCTCATGTCATCAAATATAAATCATCAAAGAAAACTATAGGTAAAGAACATTGTCAAGAAAAATAGAAAACGCGGTATGAACATAATTATTTGCAGACAGCTGAGGAAAAACCCTTCAAATACACCCGAAAAACAAACCTTCAAAATAGTTCGCTTAGCTTATGGGGTGTAACTATTCTCTGGGTCAATTGGCTCAACTGGTCATGTATCAAAAGTAAGTCGCGAGAGAAGCTATGGGCAATGATGGTCATGGTGGAAATGCTTTATGAGTGTAATCATTCTTGTACATTCACTAGTAGAAAAGGGGGCATTGGTCCAGGCCGGGTCAGCCCATTAGTCCCGGTTCAATCCAGAACCGGGACCAATGGGGCATTGGACCCGGTTCG